GACTTTGCCAGTGTCACACAGTTAGGTAAATATAGCAGAGCAGGGACCAGCAGGTGGTGTAGCAGTTATGTTGCTGGACTCCACATAGCCGACTGTGGTTCAAGTCCCAGACCCTGTAGCTTCAAACTCATGTCAGGCACACATGGGTGTGTGCCCAAGATCCCGGAAGGATAATGTAAGAGAAGGAATTGCTGCGTGGCCATATCCCCAGGAGGTGATTTCTCACTTTCCCTCTCCCTGTTTCTGTCACACTCTCTCCTTCTGGCGAGCACACGTGCCCTAGAGCAAAAACCTCTACCAAAACAAAAACAAAAACCACATCTGCTATCTAAATATCTATATATCAGAGCAAGGGCTAGACACTGAGATCCAGGCTATAGCATCACTCTCTTCAGTACACAAGAGGTAGAAAATGCCGATAAGGATGGTGATAAAGGGTAATGGCAGTGACCATGTGACATTGGCTTTCCAAGCCCAGCCTCAGTGAGTCCTCAACTTACAGGCAAAAACTTGAGAGTCAGAGAGAGGCAGAGCAACCTTCTCAAGGTCACATAGTTATTAAGTGGTTGAGCTGGGACTGAATCTCTCTGGGGCCCTGGGACAGGAGCCTGTGCTTTTCAAACCAGCCTGACTGACACTCTAAAGCCTGAGGGTAACACAACAGAATGAACTGGGGGGCCGGGTGGTGAATAAAAAGAACGGGAGAGCTTCCTAAAGGATTCTGTCAGCAGCCACGACTATTGCCATGTGAAAATGCAGGCCCACTGCTACCATTCCTCGAGAAAAATCAGAAATCTAGATTTCCGTATGAAATCTCGCAGTTCTGAAATGTTGGCAACTGCTTCTAAGTTCGTTTTAAAACACATGCATAATAGAGATGAAAGAGATTTTTACAGCCAGATATAGTGAGCCTCAACTGGATCCTGATGTGAAATACCAAACTCTAAAACATTTTTGGTACAACTGAAAGATTTTAATATGATTAGGTATCGGATGATATTATAGAATTCCTCTTCTTTTTCTTGGGTGTGATAATGGAATTGTGTTGTGTGGGAGAATGTCCTCGTTTTTAGGAGATCCTCTTGGAAGTATTTAGGGACTAAGTGTCATGTCTGCAACTTATTTTCAAATGCTTCAGCTGAAAAAAAGGAAGGAAGGAAGGAAGGGAAGAGAGAAGGAAAGAAGGGGAAAAGAAGGAAGAACAGGAAGAGGAAAGAAGGAAAGGAAGGGGAAGAGAGGAAGGAAAGGAAAGGGGAAGAGAGAGAGAAAGGTGGAAGGGGGGAGGGAAGAAGGAAGCATGTATAGAGAGAGGAAGAGAGGAATAAAGTAAATATGATAAAATACTAACAAGTCTTAAATTCTGGGTAGCAATCCACATTGGGGGCAATTCTGCAATGTCTGGTGACATTTTTTACTGTCGCAACTGGGTGGCAGGATGCTACTGGTGTCTGGTGGGTAGAGCCCAGGGATGCTGCTAAACATCCCACAATGCACAGCTCCACAGCAACAGATTGTCAGCCCCAAATGTCAAGCATACCCAGGTCGAGAAACCCTCACTGGGTGAAGAACATACTAAGTGCACTTCATTATTCTTTCAAGTTTTTGTATGATTAAAATTTTTCACAATAAAAAATTGAGGAAAACTGAAGAGAAAAAAATACATAAATAGAAATACTTCGCAGACCACCCAAACATACTGTATGGTTTCTTTCAATAAAAGGAGTGGCCGTGACTGCCATTGGAGTTGCTAAATGGGTACTGGTTTAGTTCTTCCAAGACTGCATGCAAGCGACCTCCCCCTCCCTGGAATCATCTTTCTCCTTATCTAGGTCCTAACCACCCCAAAAGAAGCGAGCCATGTGCCTGGCCTCTGAGCCTACAAACTGACACCTTGGAGGGCTCCGACGGAAAACACAAGTTTATTCAAAAATAGGAGGCAAAGTCTGTAAAAAAATTAAGAGGCTGTGGACAGCAGACCAATTTCACCTGGAAGCTACCTTGCCCTGTAGCAGCCTCTCCAGGTGCCACGCTGGGCATGCTGGCCCCTGCTGGAACATCCTCAGCACCACCAGGGAAGAACTAGCTGAGTGCTGGGCTGGGACGCCAACTGGATGAGCAGTGCACGATGCACTTGGAGGGAACCTGGGCCCACCCCAGCACCACAGAAAGGTTGGGATGCGGAGGAAATAAGAGGCAGGCTGGCCCCACTTCTTTTTCTTGGATTAATTCATCCATCTCCCAACTGTGAAAATGTTCCCAAGCCCAAGAACTATGTTTGCCCAAATATGGGTCATTTTAGTTCAGAGACTTTCAAGAAGATTGTTAAATGCAGATTTCCAGGACCCACCCCAAATCTATTAATTCGAAATCTCTGTGGGTGGAGCCAAAGAATCTGTATTTCTGAAAACTCTGTGAGATTCCAATTTTTCACTCAATCTGAAGATATCTCCTCCAGATAGACTCGAAATCAAGAGATTCGAGATTGTACAGGTTTCTTACCTGTGTGACCTTGGGCAAAACACCTTACCTGAGCCATGATTTTCTTTGGTGTAAATGGATAAAATAGTCCTGTCTCATAGGGTAGTTGTGTGAAATAAGTGCATGTTTACACACACACACACAGATACAGTGCCTGGTACCCTGAGCTGGACTCAGCAGGTGGGTGCCCCTTTTCCTGCACAATGATTGGCTCAATATTAGAATCACCTTGAGAGCTTTTCAAAGGATGCTCAGAGATTCCAATTTAAACGGTATAAAGTGAGGGATCTGGCAACAGGATGTTTTTTAAAAAAGCATTCCAGGTGATCTTAAACAGCAGCCAAGGTTGAAAATCATACCCTAGAAGCTGCCAGTAAAAAACAACAACAACAACAACAACAAAAAACAATGATCTCTTCTCAGGAATCTGCAGTACCATTCCTTTCTGGAATTTCCAAAATTTATACCAGGAGAACCTGTGTTGAGGTTCTGCCTAGTCAGGACTCGGTACCCCAGATTCTGCCTCCAAGCAGACCCTTCCTGGTACTGCAGAAGAAGGTGGCTGCAAATGAATAGCTGGAGTCCGTCCCCCCACCCCCAACAGACTGCAAAGGGGCAGGACAAGGATGTTGTTCCCTGCTGGGCCCTTAGGTACCTAGGGCAAAGCTGCCACCCCAGGACGCCCAGATCAAAGAGGGCTGGGAGCTACCATCACTTTCTCCCACAGAGGACCAAAGAGTAGGCCCCTACCCACCTTGCACTTAAGGAGGGCTCCTTTCAGAACTGGTTTGCGAAGAAAGGGCTTGGTGGAGATTTTTCCCAATCTGCAAAGCTGCCAAACCTACCTGTCTCTGAGTGAATCTTGCCCTACCAAGGCGACACCCGCTGTTGCAGCCCTGCATCCATTTCTCACCCTCCCCATAACGCAAACCTGGAAATCAATAGGGCCTGGGTCTGTCTGTGGGCAAGGGAAACAACCCCGCGAGGCGAGCTCTGTGACAGGGCACCTTGGGGTTGCAAGAGGAGGGCGGGGCCAGCGCTTTACAAATTCTTTAGTAGGTCCAGGTTTTTTTAAGCCCTTCCAGTGCAATATCTCATAATTCACCCACACCTCCCTGGTGACCCAAACCAAGAAGAACTTCCTCACCTCTTTTTCCCAAATCCCTCTTCTCTAGGGGAAAAAAAATGCATCGGATACTCTGCGTATAAATAGAAAATAATTACTAGTGAGGTGGTGATGTTCCTTCGCCTATTTTTGGTGGGTCTCTTTGTTCAGATTTTTTAGGCATGCACACGGAGCGCGTGCACACACACACACACACACACACACACGCACGCACGCACACACACACACACACACACACACACACACACAGGCCCCAGGCGCGGAGATGGTTGGCTGCGGGGAGGTGGGGGGGTGGGGTAGGGGAGCGGAAACTCGGAGACTTGGTTGCCCAGACTCGGAAGGGGGACTGTTAAGCTTGCATTCCAGCCCAGCCATCCAGCAGTTCGCAGGCCTCCTGCCTCTCCTTCAACCCCGCCCGCCCCGACCTCTCACCAAACCCTCGTCTCTCGCACCGCCTTGGGGGAGGGGGGGAGACTGCAAGCTCATGGCTGCGCCCTCCGCCTCCGAAGTTACTGAGTTGTGCGGATCAATTTAGACACTTTAAACTGGGGGGGTAGGGAGGGGCGCAGAATAGCTCCATTAATCCCCAAATGCTGTCTCCCATCTGCTGCTACTTGCCGGTACAGGGACTTGCATAATGAATAAGGCAAACGGGAAAGTTGACGAATCAGAGTGCTTAGAGGGTGAAGGCGCGCGGAGGGTGCTCGGTCCCTGGAGTCCACGCAAGCCAGGGCAAGGGGCGCCCTGCGCAGCGAGGGCCGCTGTCCGCAACAGGGAGACAGGGTGGCGAAACCGGCGAAAGCGGGCAAAGGGGCGAGGTAGGGGGTGGGAACAGCTAAGGTCCCAATTCCGGAGACCTCGAAGCTCTGGAAAAGCGGGGCGTCTGCTCCAAGCAAGGCTTTTGTTCTCGCCCTCCGCTCACTCTCCACCTCCTTCGCCTCATTTTCACGAGTCGTACGAGTTGCAGGCGGCACTCACTCCTTCCCTCCCTCCCTCCCACACACACGCGCGCGGGCTCACACACGCCCCCCTTCCCTTTAGGGCTCGCCTGTCCCTGTTTACCTAGAGGCTAGCATCTGAATCCTAAGGGTGCCACAGACCTCCTCCCCCAAACCCAAGACTGCTAGCCAAGGGGTCCCAAGCTGTCAATCCGAGGGGACAGCATGAGGGTGAGGAGGCCAGAGACCCCCCACTTTCTCACATACACACAAGCTTATACCCACACCTGTGCTGAGCCCTGAGCCCCTTCGCGCTCCACGCTAAAGTTGGCCTCCAGGGTGACATGCCCCTGCGGAGAGGCTGGGAGCGGGGGAAGCGCCATTGTCCCGGAGGGTGGGGAGGAGAGAAGAGGGAGGGCAAAGCCAGAACCGGAGGATAAAGGGGGGGGGCAGCCCACCTGGACATGTGCTCCCTTTGGGGCCGGTGCGCTTTCTCCAGCCCTAGCTTGGTGAAGATGCCCACGAGCACCATGACGGCCACTACCCCGCAGATGATGTAGACAATCAGGTTGGTCTTGTCCTTGGTGGGGTCGTGCAGGGGGTCGTCCTTGCGCGCGGGGGGCTTGCCAGTGTTAAGCCAGAGCGGCGTGTCGTAGTTGGTGCAGGTGCTTTGGTTCAGTCACCGTTTCTTAAATGTGCAGCAGAACCGGAAGCCACAAGTCCCGCAGCAGAAGATGAAGTCGCCCGAGCTGCAGTTGAACGGCGGGGCCCCGCGCGCCCCGACAC